AATAAATAAATAAATAAAATCTTTAAAAAAAAAAAAGGGCAGACGGACTCTCTTGTTAGAGGCTAATGCAGCTGATGACTTTGAATTGAAGCCAATGCTCATTGACCATTCTGAAAATCCTGGGGCCCTCAGGAATTGGACTTAATCTACTCTGCCTGTGCTCTGTAAATGGAACAACGAAGCCTGGGTGACAGCACAGCTGTTTACCACATGGTCTACTGAATATTTTAAGCCCACTGTTGAGAGCTACTGTTGAGAAAAAAAAGATTACTTTCAAATCATTACTGCTCATTGACAATGCACCTGGTCACCCAAAAGCTCTGATGGAGATGTACAATGAGACAAATGTTGTTTTCATGCCTGCTAACATCCATTCTGCAGCCCTTGGATCAAGAAGTAATTTCATCTTTCAAGCCCTGTTGTTTAATAAATGCATTTCATAAGGCTATAGCTGCCATAGATAGTGATTCCTCTGATGGATCTGGGCAAAGGAAATTGAAACCTTTTGGAAAGGATTCACCATTCTAGATGCCATTAAACATTTGTGTGTCATGGGAAGAAGTCAAAATATCAACATTAACAGGAATTTGGGAGAAGATGATTCTACCCTCATGGATGACTTTGAGGGGTTCAAGATTTCAGGGGCGGAGATAACTGCAGAGGTGGTGGAAAAGCAAGAGAACAAGAGTGAGAAATGGAACCTGCAGATGGGACCGAATTGCTACAGTCTCATAATACTTTAATGGATGAAAACTTGCTTCCTGAGAAGAAAAAAATAGGGGGTTTTCTTGAGATGGAATCTATTCCTGGCACAGAGGCTGTAAAGATTGTTGAAAGGGCAACAGAGGATCTAGAATGTTACACAAACTTAGTTGATAAAGCAGAGGCGGGGCTTGAGAGGATTAACTCCAATTTTGAAAAGTTCACTGTGGGTAAAATGCTATCAAACAACATTATATGCTACAGAGAAATCATTCATGAAAGGAAGAGTCAATCAGTGCAGCAAACTTCATTGTTACCTTATTTTAACAAATTGCCACAGCCACCCCAACCTTCAGCAACCACCACCCTGATCAGTCAGCAGCCTGTCAACATCGAGGCAAGACCCTCCAGCAGTAAAAAGATTATGGCTCACTGAAAGCTCAAATGATGGTTAGCATTTTATAGCAATGAAGTGTTTTTAAATAAGGCATGCACATTGGTTTTTTGGACATAATGCTGCTGCACACTTAATAGACTACAGTATAGTGGAAACAACTTTTATATGCACTGGGAAACCAAAAAATTCATTTCACCTACTTTATTGAGATGTTCAATTTATTGTGGTGGTCTGAGGTCTGTAGTATCTCTGAGGTACGCTTGTATATCTTTGTTCACTTGTACAGTAAGATAATCTTAGAAATAGAACTGCTGGGTTGAAAGAGGTGTACATTTTGTGTATAATTTTGATGTACATTTACCATATTGCCTTCAAAGAAGTTTACACTAATTCATATTCTACAAAATTTAAATGAGTTCTTATTTCCCCATAACTCATGCTGATCTGAGAGTGAAAATGACATTTTTTTTCATTTGCAGTTCTTTAATAATGAGTAAAGTAGAACATCTTTTCAGATGTTTGTTGGCAATTTGTATTTCATTTTTGTATGAAGTGCCAACTTTTCTCCTTTATGCAGAAGTTGTTCATCTTTTCTTTATTGATTTATGAGAGCTCTTTTATATTAAGGAAATTAGCCATTTGTTATATTTATTGCAAATATTCTTCCAGCTGATATTTTGTCTTTTGACTTTATTTATATCAATATTTTGCTACACACAAGTTGAAAAGATTTAATTACCATCTTTCCTTTTATACTCTGGGTTTTATTTTTGTTCCATGACAATATTATTATAAAATATTCACCTCTGTATACATTATTTCTAATCCTCATAATTTTATAAAGTAATTATTACAAAGAACACTTGACATGCTCAAGGAATACTGAGATGTCTTTAGATACTAACTTTATAAGTACTACTGTATTACAAAGATCTTTTGAAATCATTTCTAAAGATTAACACCTTGACTCCAACTTTGTTTTATTGGATTCCTCCTTATTTTGGACCTTGACATTGAAGTGTTTGCAGAAACCCTGAGAAAGCTAGGATGAATCATGGTCAGTTTGTCTTTGGTTGCATTAAACTCTGATATTTGTGTCTCTTCCTTTGATATATTTGCAAGGCATTTTTTTATTGGTGTGAGACTCTTTATGCTGTTGAACATACTGACCCATAAACCCTTTCTTTCATGAACTTCTTCAGCTCAGAAAGAGGTGACATGCACTTCCATGGCAATGATTTTTTGTTGTTGTTGTTGTTTATGTCAATAGAAAATGCTATGTCACGTCCTTGAACCGATCTTTCTTGAGGCTAAAGTTGGGTTGGAGCTTCACTAATGTCCTCATTAAATGCTTCATAGAAATACATGTATATGTTCCTAAGTTTCTCCTAGGTTACATTTTCTTGAGCATCATGCTTCCTATTCTTTACACCAAGAGTTAGTCATCTTTTTAGTGTTTAATAGGTTTTTTACTCAGCTGCTGCCAATTTTTTTTTTTTATTCCAGTGGTGGAAGCACTCACTTAATATAGTTTCCCAAATTGTTTTTTCTTGCTTCTTTGTTGATGATGTCATTTCCATCACAAATATAAGCCTTCAACTAATTTTACATTATACTCTCTGACTCAATCAAACAGACTATCTCATGACAAAGATCCATCACTTTATTCATTTCTTCAATCTCATTGCTAATATTACATTTCGTTTCAGAGCCCTTTTAAAAAAAGAACACTTTAGGCATTTTCATGGAGATACTACATAAGTGGAGAAGAGTAAGTAATAAAGAAACTATGTCAAAGTACAGTTGTTGGGTGATTAACAAGATTATTCAGTAGCTAAATGACTGGTTTATTTATTCATTTATTCCACAAATATTTAAAAGCACCTAATCTATGCCAGGGATTGTTAGGGCTGCATAAGCCCTCATGGAGCTCAGTCAAGTGCTGGGATAATTATAGCCAGTATATATTGATTGTTTAGTATGTGCTGGGCAGTGTATTGCATGCTTCAAAGACTCTATATCAAGTTCCTCACTTGCAAGATGGGGATAATAGTCATAGTTATACATAAAAAGTTGAAAGAATTGAATGAAATAGTATGTGTAAAGCTCCTAGAACAAGGCTGAATATATAAATATATACACATATCTTGTTATAGTTTTATGATTATTATTATTTTCTTTGCTATTTAACATACCTTGTAAAGTTGGGCTATTATTATTCTCATTTACAGAAAAGAAAATTGAAGCTTAGTGAATTTAAGAAATCTATTCAAGGAAGACTACACAGTTAATAATAACAGAGGTAGGTTCAAATTCAGGTAACCAATTCTCAGCTTATTCTTTCAACCACTCAGCTTTCCAGTCTCCTATACTCTGGCTAATGTGTAAAATTTAAACTTCCTCTCTAGCACACTTATGGATGGATGTACATATCATGGACTTTTCTGGTCAAAACTGCAAATATTAAGTTGATAAATGCTAAGGGTCTACTTTATTACCCCCATTTTTTAGTTGAGAAAAAAAGAGGTTTAGAGAGGTCTTACATGGAAAAATTGTCTGAGCTTAGATCTCAAAACAGAGGTCCAAATCCATATCACACTGACTAAAGATCTTTTTAACTTTATTAAAACATAGTCATGGTGAAAAATTCTATTCACATTTATGGAATACACTTAACAGTATTATGAATAGTTACAGTTATAGGGGTGAATATCATCACTAGCTCTTAAATTATATCATATGACTTTGACTACATGGCTTTAAAAATAGTTTAAAATATAGAAATGTTTTGTGAAGGGTCTTGAAATGTAAAAAAAGAAAAAGAAAAAAATAAATGCCTTAAGTATCACAATGGACATTTCTAAAGATTTTATTTATTTATTTATTTATTTATTTATTTATTTATTTATTTATTTGAGAGAGCACGAGAGAAACAGGGGGATGGAGAGAGACAAGCAAACTCTGCACTGAGCTTGGACCCTGATGAGGGGCTCGATCTCAGGACCCTGAGATCATGACCTGAGCTGAAATCAAGAGTCGGATGCTCAACTGACTGAGGCACCCAGGTGCCCCTTGGACAAATACACTTTTTATTTTGGAAAAATTATAGGTTTGCAGAAAAGTTGCTAAGATAAAACAGAGAGTCTACATGTATCCCTCCCTGTTCCCCCTTACATTGCCAGTGTACATTATCATCAGACATTTATCAAAACTGAGAAACTGACTTTGGAATATTATTGGTAACAAAATGACTGATTTTATTTGTATTTCACCAGTGTTTTCATTAGTGTTCTCTTTCTGTTCCAAGATCCAATCCAGGCTGCCACACTGCATTTAGTTGTCATGTCTCTCCAGTCTCTTCTGGTCTGTGACAGTTTCTCAATCTTTCATTGTTTTTCTTGAGCTTAATTATGTTGAAGAATACTAGCCAGGTATCCTATAGAATGTCCCCCCGTCTGAGTTTGCCTGAAGTTTTTTTCATGTTTTGACTGGGGTTATATCATGAACATTTTAAAGTGAAGGGATAAAGAAAAATAATCCAAAAAAATGTATAAGGGTGGGGAGCTCCTGGGTGGCTCAGTCGTTAAGCATCTGCCTTCAGCTCAGGTCATGATCCCAGGTTCCTGGGATGGAGCCCTGCATCCATCTCCCCTGCTCAGCGGGAAGCCTGCTTCTCCCTCTCCCACTCCCCCTGCTTGTGTTCCTTTTCTTGCTGTGTCTCTCTCTGTCAAATAAATAAATACAATCTTAAAAAAAAAATGTATAAGGAAAAGCAACAAGCTTCTGACCTACACCAATCCTGGTAATTTTTAAAAATGTGAATCTCACCTTAAAAAGGTCATTAATTCAACAAAAATTTATTAAGCACCTACTATGTAGTAGAGACTATTCCAGGCACAGAGGATACATTAAGGACAACCAGCCTAGGTTAAATGGTCATGAAAGGCCTCTTTGAGGAGTAAACATTTGAAAGGCCCAAATGACAAAATGGAGCTAGATAAAAGCAAAGATTTGGGAGAAGAACATTTAGGGAAAGGGGTAACTAGTGCAAAACCTTTGTAACACAGGGTAAACTTAATGTATTTAAAAAGCTTCAATAAGGGCAGAGTGAGTGGGTCATTGGTATAAGAGGAAGAGTGGTAGATGAGATGAGCAAAGTGGCCAGGGGCTAGCTTGCACTGGACTTTGTAGGCCATGGCAAGGAATATGGATGTTATGCTGAGTGGGACAGAAAATCTTTGAAAGGTTTTAACTAAGAGAAGATTTTAACTAATAATTATATATAATCTCATATACTTTAAAATGATCACTCTGGATGCTTTGTGGAGTATGAAATTTGGGTGATAAGAGTAGAAGCTAGGAGCCCTGTTAGGAGACAATCGCAATAGTCCAGGCAAGAAAAGATGATGGTTGGAGTAGGATGGGAAGTAGTGGATACAAAGAAAACTGTTTGGAATTGGATATGTTTCAGAGGATGAAGCAACAGCACTTGGTAATGAATTAAATGTGAGATAAAGATTCTCAAATTTCAGCTGGATAAACTGAATTGATGATGGTGCAATTTATTGAGATGGAGAGAACTGGCAGAGCCCATGTTGCAGAAGGAAGATGGGGGAGGCTCAGAAATCAAAAATGATCTGTTCGGATCAAGTTAAGTTTGAGATTTTTCAGGTCATCAAAAAGGTAGATGTAAGTTTGGCATCCACGGGAGAAGTCAGGGCCGAAGACATAAAATCCATATACAAAATAAATCCATATGGATGTAATATTAGTAACTTAATTTACTAAGAATAGCCTTCTATCAATATTTGTTCATTTATATATTAATCAATTCATTGATTCATATACTTATTCCACAAATTATTTATTGCAGAACGACAAACCTATCAGGCTTTAGTACAGCCACACCAATGGCCTCCAAAGAGAAGAATACAATCAGAGAAGGTGGATCATGGGAAGAAAACATCAGAACCTTAAAAAAATATTTATTTTTATCTAAAAACAGAAAAAAACTAAGTCTTGCAAATATTTAACGTAGAGATTGACACTGGCATCTCACTATTAATGAGTGAAAAGTGTGAGTCATGCAATGTGGGGAACAATTCAGGGATGTCTTCATTTTCTTTCACCTTAATATACTGTGATTTATTCCAATTTATGTGTGCTGGGTTAAGTAGATTTACCAGTTACATTATTCTTTCATTAAACTGATCGCTAACTAAAATCAAAGTAGCTAAAAAAGATTTCTGGAAAGAAAACATGAGTTGGAGATAATAATGCAAACATAAACAGAAGAGGTGATAGGAGAGATGACATGTCTACTTCTAGCATGAGCTGTACAGAAACCATCTTATTAAGTAGTGGGGATAACACTTAAATCAGAGATTTGGAAATATTTCTATTACGGGATTTTGATGCAAAAATGATATTTGTGTGCTACCTAAGGCTGAGACAATGGTAAGGTAAGTGAGGCATTCACCTTGGGTACAAAATTTAAGGGGGCAGCCAAAACTCAGTAATCAAGATAAAGAATATCTAAATACCATATTTTAAAGATTCAAAATTAATTCAAAAATCTATGAACAAAATGTCAAAATCTTAAATAAAGACAAGATCAGTGCCCTAAAAAAACTTACACATGTACACTAAAACTTGAAGGCAGAATTTTTCCAAGCTATTGAAAACTCTTCCAAGCAATGCATTCCAAAGAGTTCTGAACCCATTTGTTAAAAATATAAAAATGCAACATTTTCTGGCTGACATCAGGGAAGATAGAAAGTTAGTAGTTGAATTTCAATAAAAACTTTTCATGATTGGTGGATGGAGGAGATAAAAATGGATACTTGCATTAGTAAGAGCAGCCAAAGATGTACTTCTTCCATTAGGATCTACATATCTTCGTGAGTTATCTTTTTCAGCTTATGACAGCTATTAAAATGAGGTACAGAAATAACCTGAATGTTGAATCAGATAATTTAATAACTGCTTCGCAAAGTGTTAAAGATTTTAAAAACCATTGAAACCTACTCAGTCATATTTCTTTCACTAAATATTTTTGGTGAGAGTAACAATTCTTTATACCATTAATATAAGAAATAACTCTTACAGTTACTTTTAAATGTTTATTTTTTATCTTATCCTTTTTACATTTTAAAAATGTTTTACGTCACATGTAGCAAGACGTGTATATAACTTACGTAAGTATATAGACTTACAGAGCTTTTTTTCTTTCTTTCGCTAATAGGGGCTTGCAATCAAAAAAAGTTTGATAGGTAGTTGATACCGTGGGTGTTAGGAATATGGAAGGATTATTTTATCTCAGCATGGTGTGAAATCACCGTACCCAAGGAAGTCTTCAGGAGGGACACCCCATCGAGTCTTCATAAAGGAAGGTTTAATGAGTGAGATTTGGAAAAATAACTATTGCGTAATTTGTTTCGTATAAAACAGCACAATGCTTACAGTCATTGGAAATTTAAGTACTCTGAAAACATTCTTAAGGAGGATGGTAAAGTTCAAACTGCAGCCCTACTCTCGCAAGCGATCTCAGTCCCAGACTGGAACCTGTTGGAGAAGGAAGTTCCCATAAAGTGGGCAAGAGAGTGCCGCTCTAATGGAGGGTGTGTGCGTGAGGGAGGCGGGGGGGGGGGGGGTTGGAGATGTGACACCGTTTCTCTGAAGCGAAGGCTGCCGCGTCCCCTCGCAGGAGATGGCCTTGCGATCCCTGGAGCCGGGGCCGTCAGGAGTGGAGGGAGAGGGGAAAAAGAAAACGTAGTTCCCTCTGGCCGGGGCCGTGTCCGAGGGCGGAGGCCGGGAGACCGCCCGTGACGCTTTCTCTTCCAGGAGAAGCCAGGGCTTTGTGAAGAGGGAATGGAGTTAAGACGCTTTTCTAGCGGGAAGGGAGGGCAGTGTTGGTTGGGGGTAGGGTCAGAGAAGGAGCTTTCGGCTCCAGTCATGCCCTGGAGGGCAGAGTCCGAAGAGCCCAAGAAGGCATGGGGGCTTCTGAGGCCTGGTCCTTTCCCTGCCAGCAGAGGGAGTCCCGAAATGGACGGTCCAGAATCCCTCCCAAGAAAGGTGTTTGCACGGCCGCTCAACCAATTTTGTACATCCCGGGGCTGAGTAAGAGCTGAGGTAATTAGACGCGAGCGACAGCTGCCTCGGCACCTTTGCCGCTTGGCGCCGGGCTCGGAGCCCGACGGCTCGAATTCTCGCGAGAGCGGCCGCCGCCATTTTTCCATTGATTGCAGCGGGCTGGGGGAGGGGCCGACGACGAAGGCGACGGCGACGGCGGCGGCGGCGGCGGCGGCGGCGGCGAAGCAGCAGCGCTGGGTCGGTGTCTGCGCGCTGGTGTCTGAGGCCCAGGTTGAGGCCTCCGCGGTTGCCGGAGCGCAGGCGGTGGAGAGGATGACTGCCGCTGCCGTTCTTTCCTGAGATAGAGAGCCGCCACCACCCTGCCCCCTCCCCCGGCAGGGCGGAGAGGAGCGGCGGAGTCTGAGCCATGGTGCCCGGCGAGGAGAACCAACTGGTCCCGAAAGAGGTGAGGGGCCAGCGGAGGAGGCTAGGCCCGAGGCCTGCGTCCACTCGAGGCCATGCAGGCCCGGGCGAGGGGTCGGCTGCGGGCCCAGCTCGTGTGCGGGCGCGGCTGTGGGGGAAGGAGGAGGTGTGTGGTGGGGGCTGTACGGTGGGTGCGGCGAGCAGTTGGGAGACCCGACTGGATCTAGGGGCCTGAGGGAGCCGAGACCTCCCCTCTCGGGTTTGTCGGGCTGGACGAATAAAGGAGCGGACTGGAAGGAATCAGGTCCAGCTTTGGGGGAGAAGGTGGCCTTTTAAGTACTTATTTAACATGTTGAGCCAAGATAATTTCAAAGAAAAAATTCTGTAACAGTTATTGATGGGCACGACAGGGTGACGGTGCTGCTTCTGGTTTGACAGTGGCAGTGTGTAGCTTTCAGGGCTTGTGAAATCTACACCCAACTTGAGATCTGTGGGAGGGCAGAGTTAACTGTTACGACTTTTTTGAACTCCTGTTACTTGGTAATACTGTTGGCCTGCCTAAATGGGGCCTATGGAAGATCGCTGAAAAAGTAAATGTGACTTTCACGTAAAGGTAAGAGAGAGCTAAACATTACCATATGGAGAGCTGAACTACCTTTTGTAGTTGGGTTGTGTATGCTAGTTTGGGTGACTTCTTGAATTCTTAAAAGCGAGTGATATGAGAAGCCTTGACTTCTTGGCGTCTCTTGAATAGTAGTAGAAGATTAATGGTAGAATCCAGCGCTGGCCAGTGAATTTCAATATATTAATAGTATCCCTGTTGGCTTTATAAATATCTTCAGCGTATCCAAATGTGTATTTTTAACTGGTTGATCATCAGGCTAATGCTTTGGATTTTTATTTCTCATATACCTTAAATAGAGGCAGTGTCCTGTTGAACTGTGTAGAATCTTGATGGTTATAAGTGATATTCATTAAAAATTCTTATTTTTGCTTTTTTAGTTGCTTTGTAACAATTTGTTGCTACTTAAGCAAGCTCTGACACTGCAGAAGTGATACTGGAGTTATGTAGCTATGATAAAATATTTTTCCTACATTATCAGATGGTAGTTGTTTTGCAAGGACAGTTTTGTTTTTTTTTTAACTTAGTTATCATGTGTCAGTATTCATGGAGCATCACCAACTCTGTGCAAAGCAGATAAACAGATGAAATTAATCAGAGTTCTTGCCTTGGGAGCTTTCAAAGCTACTAAGAGAGTGCTGGTAATACTCGTTGAGCTTCATTTAAGGGAGAGGTATTTTACTAAATAAGTAACTCTCATACAAGGACAGAAGTGATAGGTGCTGTGAGAAAGAAACATGCATTTTCTTTTAGAGCTACATACTGCTGGTTTTCATTCTTACAAAAAGCAAAGTTAGTCCTTTCTTAATTTTTTGACCGTTAGAAAAATACAGTATAGGTGAAACTCTGCTTTAAGAAAATGCAACATCAGATTTATTTCCCTAATAATTTGATGTCTTAAAAAAACCCCATGATATGGATAGGCAACTTTGCAGGAAAATATCGTTGTGTAAAAACCAATGCTGTAATGTTGCTTTTACCTTTTGTATTTTAAAGATTAATTGCCTCTCTTTTAAGACTAACTCCCTTACCTGAGGCTTCAAGCACATCCCAACTTTTTTTTCTTTTACATTTTTGGGAACATATGCCTTTTTTTTTCTATTCTCTAGATTGATCTTCAGGCTGTTCTTTTCCCCTGGCTCTTCTCATGGTTCCTGGAAGCATGCACAGTAGTCTCCAGTCTTGAAGACTCACTTAAGTTTTTGCCTTTTTAGCTTGTTAACTAGTTCTTTCTTTTTTGATGGCCATACTCCTCTTCCTGAATTATTCTTACTTCTCTTCCTTGGGTTTTCTGTTGCATTTAATACTTAAAAAAAAAAAAAATCCTTGAGTTTAGTAATATTGTACTTTTTGGTCTTTTTTCCTACCTGTTTGTCGTATCTGCCTGCTATTTAGTCAGTGTCTTTCTTTTTTTTGGTCTTTTTTCCTACCTGTTTGTTGTATCTGCCTGCTCATTTAGTCAATGTCCTCTCTTCTGTGTCCTTAATTATCGCTTTGGTCTTTGTCATTCCCTGTCTTTTTAAGTTAAGTGCTAAAGGGAGAGTATAGTGATCATCTAGTAACTTAACCCTTTCCACTTTACAGATGAGGAAGATAGGGCCAGAGGATTGAAAGTGACTTGTTTAGGGTCACATAATGAGTAAATGACAATATAAGGACTGGAACTCACATCCCTTCGCTATTCCTTGACTATACTGTATTTTTTAGTTACCTCCATATAACCTGGAGGGTTTGTAACTAAGTACGTTTACTATGTGCAAATAAATTGCAAAATTGAAACAAAAATTTGCTTCTGTTCCAATAGCTTATTATCAACAATCTAGAGGGTTTTGTTGTTGTTTTTTGTTTGTTTAGGACCTTTATATAGGGAACCCCTGACCCCTACTAGATTTAGATCTTAGTTAGGTGTGTGCATTCATGCATGTGTGTAGTTGTTGAATGAATAATATATTATTTTGGTCCCTGAAGCTTAAGGACAGATGTATCTTAGAGGACTCCAAAG